CACGCACGCACGCACGCACGCACGCACGCACGCACGCACGCACAGCAGTGAATCACTTCCTTCAAATTAAAGTAACTCCGGCACCTCAGAGCTTCTGTTATTTGTTTCTTCCTGTTTCCTCAACCTAGCCTTCCTTTCTCCGTCTGCCCTGTTATCTCTCAATATGACACAGCTATTTATATACATTTCAAAACCTGACCTTCCATGAACTTAGAAAAAACATCATATATGTGTTTGTGCTTGTCTCCACTATTGTGGAAGTCACGTGGAACATTTAAAAACCTTAAATGCTGTCTCATACGTCAAAGCACCACCGTTTAAGACGGTTAATAGCATTGCATTCAAGTAAAAAAAGGCCTTTTTATATTTTAAAAGCAAATGTGTCACTTTGAATAAACATTAGCTCATTTCTGCAGTATCTCAGATTTGCAGTAGCTCCTGGAATAGGGAGAATCTTTCCGTCTCCTAACACGAAGGCAGACACACACCTCACTTCTTGACTTGCACTTTAAGTTAATCATTTATTTAATGGAACAGTTTGGATCTGAGAATGTCATTTTTATTGGACTATTTTAAATGTGCAAGTGAAGACCTACGACCCACTGTCCTTTTTCTCCTTATGTCTGCAGATTCCTCACATAAGGTCTTTCTCCATTATTCAAAAGAAATATCTAATATTCATACCTAAATGAAAGCTGTTCTATAATGTAGTGTGAAAGACCGGGTAAGATGGGAGCAAGGGACAAGGAGGAAGGATGGGCCTGGAGGTCGGGAAGGACGGAGAAATTATGATGGTGTATGTGGGGGTGGGTGTGTGTGTATTTTGGGTCTTTATTCTGTATGTGTTCAATTAATTTTGCAAATGAGTGAAGAAAAAACACAAAAAAAACTGGAGAAGAATCTGCCAAAAGGAAGAAAAGTGAGAAGCTAGGTTGAAGTGATGAAGTCAAATCTTCACCCACACATTTGTAACCAAACTCCTCAGACCTCATCCTAGGAGACTTCTGGTGTTTCAAACAGCCTAGCAAATGGAGAAAGAAATAACCATGTTATGGCAGTAACTGTCCTTATCAGCAGGCAGCGGTAGTGTGAACAGCCAATCAGAGTGATTGCTTGGGCCGACTTTCTCTGACCTCCCGCGGCCAATTCAACATGTTGAATCGGCCGTGGGAGGCGTCGGGAGGTGTGAAAAGGTGCCGTAAAGAGACGACTGTGCGGGACACACCAACCTGAGTAGGGCGCCGCGAAAGCCCGACTGCCTCTGCCGGCCTCTGACTCCCAAAATCGGGCTGGTGTGTCCGGGCCTTTAGAGGGACTATGTAAATAGTGAAATTGGTTGCTGTCACGGTAAAGCATGTTTCTTATCTTGTGTTCGACATTGGCTCGAGAAAAAAGAAAGGACAGATTGACAGTGCTCCTCAGATTCATTTCTGCTACATTTCAGCTCAGAGTGTGATGTAGGGCAGCGCCGTCTCGCTACATCATGTCTCAGTTATGGGTCATATTCTCACCATACTTTCCTACACGCCTCAATGACTTCATCAGCCCTCCTCCACCTCCTCATCATCTGTCTGTGTGTCGCTTTCTTTCTGCGCCCGTCTGTCTCTCTAAAACCCTCTTTCTGTCTTTTTAGGTATTTGTTCGTGTTTGTGTCTACTTCTCTCCATCATCACAGTGTCACTCTTCTTCCTGTCTTTCTCAGTTAAACAGATCCTCCTTCTCAATGTTGCCTGTTTGTCGTCCAACCCTTCCCATCCCAAACATTGTCCTGGCTGTTTAAGTTTGATGAGCCTACACCCTAAATTAGATCATTCTTTGCACTTTTATGTTGCCAGTTTTTTTTACTACAAAGATGACCCAGTTTTCATTTTCGATTGCTGTTAACATGCTAAGCTTGGCCAAATTCAATCACAGCTCATATTGGTACCAGCGTTTAACTATTTGATAATGGTGTATGATAAAGAAAATCATATTAAAGCAGCTGCAGAGACCGTGGATGACTGAAAAGAGGAGAATAATAATTGATTTCTCTCGAGGGTTCTTTCTGAGCTGTATCTAAATTGAACAATTGCTGAGCTAAGCTGTGGTTAAAGGGTCAGGTCACCCAAACTAGAGACAGCATTTCCCATTTAATTAAATTCCCTCCCTTTCTTTGCTGTTTTATTACAGTCTCATTGACAGGTGTTGTCGTCCTTACAATCCATGCTGCAACTACACACACACACAAAAATGGTATCACTGATTTTCACCGTTAAAGGTCCATCTACTGTACTCTCCATGAGAAGGAAAAGCCTGTCTATGAAAAACAAAAGATTTCCGAAATTTGAAAGGTATATTTAATTATGTTTCAGTCATTTTTATGTTATAGGTTTAAGATATCTTGGCCTTTGCTTCTGTAATTTGAAGTTCATTCATTTAAAATGTTTTTGTGAGTCCCTCATTTATTTAGTTGAAATATTTATTCATGTATTTTATTTATTGACTTTTTTCACTTTATTTTCAGCTCAACAAGTTTATAATTTAGTCACTTTATTTCTTCGTATAACCTTTTAATGGGATGATGGAATATTGTGGATTTATCAGAGCCTTTTTCCTGTTAAAAGTTCCCTGATTAATCTATAAATAACAGTATAGAAAGAGCAATGAGAGTGAACCAAAATAACAAAGTTTGAGCCGAAAACTGTCCATTTTCTCTTTTGGTTCATCACAACAAGCGTCATTTATCTCATTACGTTTAATAAGTCGATCTATTTTTTATGTAAAAATATTGATTAGTGAATCTTTAACATTTGAAGATGGCAATCCGATGGTATTCTAACAAGAAATAATTCTTCAAATATTGCCTCAGCTGTGGCTCATCTAATGTGCAGCTGGTCCCTCTGAGCAATGTCGAGCTCTGCCCTCAACCACAGACCAAAGAAAGAGATATGAAAATGGTTAGAGAAGCCTAGTGAGTGCTGGAAGGTATTATGTTTGTTAGAGGCCATCCCCATGACTAATGTATGATAGTACGATTGATAAAAGTCCCCTTAACAATGGGGGAATGACACATGGGTTATAGAAGATATAAGGAGGAACATGAGAGAGAGATATTGTGACAGAAGTTTGAAAAAATGTTTCCCTCCATCTTTTATTGTTTCATTTCCTGGCTTCTCGAGTAACAGCTCGGAAGTGATTTGTCCTGATAAAGAACATAAAAAAAAACACATCATGGGACAGAAGCGTTTAGAGAAAGAAGAAGGAAATAATGCAAAAGAGAAATGTGAAACATAAGTTGAACAAAAATGAACGAGGGAGAATAACATGAGGAAGCACAGTAGGGACTGAGGGGACCGCTAAACTAGAGTTAAAAAAACAAGTGGTTTTATACTAAAATATCTTCAATATGTATTCATATAAAAACAAACAAAAAAAGGAAATACAAAATGAGGACATCCTTTTCTGTTAACATAGCGAGTTGACATTTTGTTTGTGTGTGTGTGTGTTTGCCCGCAAGGAAAAGATAAAAAGTTGCTGACAGACACAAAAACAACCTTGTAGGAATTTGGGTTTAAACAAAAAGCAAGCCCTCTCTCTCTCTGACCTTCTCTCTCCCCTTTATGATTGATCTGCCTTCTTTATAGTCTATTTACTCGTTATATCTCCCTTTTTTCTTAATTCTTCTCACTCTTGTTTATTTTGCTGGACGTTTCTGAGTGTCTGTCAACTCCACGGGGGACTGAGAGAATGTTATTTTTTTCTTGCATCTTTTTCTTTTAGAATAATGCAAAAACTAGTCAGTGGAGAAATGTGGATAAAAGGATAGATGGACGGACTGATGGATGGATGGATGATTAGATGGACTGACGCATGGAAGGATGGGCCCATAGATGCATGGATGGATTTATGCATGGATGGATTTATGGATGGATGGATGGTGCGGGATGTGACTGGCTGCTGTGGGAGGGAGACTGCTGTGTAATGATAGAAGCACAGGAAGGGTTGCCACAGCAACACAGGAACAGGAAACAGTCTTGAGAGATATAGAAAAGGTCTTGAATGAAAAGACATGGGTATTCCTTTGATACAGTGAACCCTTTTAAATAAAAATGATCATTGTCATCACCATATTCTTAACCATGGACTAGTGATGTGTTTATATCTTATGGGATTAATTACCTGTTTGTAGCTTTTTTTTACATTATTTTCTGTTATTATGAGAGGACAACTTGTTAGGAACATCATTATGTTATCAACTTAGCATTTATTAATAGCAAAAGGTCATTAAACATGAATTGAACAGATGTTGTCCCATATTATCAATGACAGATCTTGCAAATGTTTTATAATGTCTGTACTGACTGTGAAATCTGAACAAATTGTTAGATGTAATGCCAGAAATGCAGAAGTGCTGGCATTCACGATAATCCGGAGGATGGAGCTTTCTGCCTTGCTGATCCCCTGACTTCTCCGCTAGTGATATTCACTTCGTGTTTAGAGCTATTAACAACTATTAGCATAATAACATGCTAAACTAAGACCCTGAACATAGTAAACATTTTAGACACTTAACATCAGCATATCAACAATGCCATTAGCTTGTTAGCAAGCTGACATTAGCATCTAGCTTCAAGCACTGCTGTGGCGAAGTAAAGCTTCCCAAAGCAACTAATGTGTTTAAACAAGACGTTTAGTCGAGTCTTAACTCTCTGACAAAAAACTCTACATTCATGCAAACATATTCAGTTGGAGAATCAATGGAAACTAAATGTTTCAATGTCAATATCTTGAATATGAAGCTTTTTAAAGTGAGCTAAGCACCCCGGGATTGTGTCGAACCTAGTTACTTTGTCCCAGTTGGTCTTTATCTCTCTCTTTTTACTCTCCAATATCCACTGAAACATAACACATCTGCTATAACACTCTACAAAAGCAATTGATCCACATCATAGAAAAACAGAGTACAGTTAAATATCTGAAAAAAGCAGTTAGGTCATAAAGAAAAGCAATGGAGACAGTCATTCTAGAAACATTTTATTTATCAAGATCAAACGGCTAATATCTTTTAATAAAACAATAGAGAAAGACACAATAAATTATTAAGGATAAGCACACGTACAGTTTTGTCATGAATGTTTTTCTGAACACAGCAGAGCACGTTTTTGGCTAAAACAAACATTGCTCAATCCCCACAGTCCTCAGAAGGGGAGGTGAAACTCTGGATTTGATCTTATCCAAAGCATGATAGTCAGAAGATTTCTCAAAGGTCTAATGTTTGTTTTTGATGGACATGAGAAATCCAAAAACCTACACAACTAGGATTGAAAGTATGAACTTGAAATACATGCGGTTCTATTGCAAAGACAAGAGGAGAAAATAAGTAAAAGAGGAAATTCATTTTGGAGCACGCAACAATGGAATGTGCTGATAACGCCAACAAACTGGCAGGCACAGGAAGTACACACACACACACATACACACACATACACACACACATACATACACTCCTCACACATATTTCAAATAATAATTAACTAAATAATACGTTTGCAGCAGATTTCATAAAATACTAGCGTAACTATGCATTTCGCAATAGGTATCTTGAAAAATGACTGAATACCTCAATTCATTTTTGGTTTGTTAGCTACTAAAAATGTAACAGTATATGATTTTCATGCCAACTCTGTATTATCTGTGTGTTTATCTTTGTGTTTCAAAATGCAACCCAGAGGATTGAAATCAAACTTTGCATGAGAACAAAAGTCAAAAGCTTTACAACAAAGGGAAGCAACATCCAAAAACAACGCACAAGTGTATGTGTGTGGAGGAAGTGTGGGCCAAATTACTTGTAATGTAACTACTGCACAACCCGAAAAACATCTGGAATATTTAAGAGCCTTTCTGTATCCCACACCTGCCGAATAAGACCCGTGACTTACAGTACACACATGCACATAAAAGCGGCGCGGGCACACAGCTGATCGGGTTTCACTGTGACCGAGGGATTGTCTCACTGTCCAGTCTTTTTTGTGTCTTTCTTTAGAACAAAAGAAGTGTGTAAAATCCAATTTTCTCAGAGTAATTCAGTCCTGTAAGCGGGGCCTGAGCGTGTGACACATGGGGGGGGTGATGATGGAGAGATGACTAACGCCGCTGTGTTTGATTCCGCACAGCTGGATCATGTGTTTGGAAATGATAAGCAGTTACTTTGAATTCTTGCTCTATTGCTTTAATACTCCAGCTACCTGCACACACACTTGCGCGCACGGTCACATGCTCACCATTCCCATGCTTGTATCGGCTGCCAGCTTTCGCAGACTGTTGGTAACCCCCCACCCTTTAAACAAAAGGACCTCTTCCTGAGCGGTAACACACAGCCCTCTCTCTCACCACCACACTCAAGTTATATTTTCAGCAGAGACCAAGAACATTAGTCTAATTCCCACAGATCTTTTTCACTGTGGTGCCGCTGCAGAGTTGCAAAGCAGTGAAGCAGGTTGTGATACATGTTCGCATCTTTGTGAGAAGGTAAAAAGCAGTTTGACAAAATAAATCAGGCTAACTGAATATATAAACATGCTGATTGAAATGCCTAGAGTAGCTGCAATCTTTTATGTTGCATCTGCAAAGTGGCTCCTCTCATCTCTCATCCAGAAGTGCTGGTAATCTACGAATAGCTGGCTTGATTGTCTCTTTTCTGTGAGCAGCCTCTCCTTTAAAAAAAATAGCTCTTTCCCCTCATGTTTTCAGAGCTTGAGGATCATGGTTTTTTCCGTGTTAGCAGAATTCCGGTTAGCAGTGGGAATGCCAGGAACGCATAGAAAAGTAGGCAAAGCGCAGCAGCTTTATCTGACATCTCCTTTGATGTGTTGTGAAAGTGAGTGATGAAGGGAGAGAAAGTGTGTGTGCATGGAGTCGGGGAGAAAGAAACACGAGGAGCAGAGAGCCTATGGATGGAAGGACAGACAAAGAGAAGCCTGAATGTATGCAGTCAGGAATGTATGCACACAAAAAGCAAGAAAAGTGAAGAATTCAGTAAAAATAATATACTTTTGCCTGGAGTGTGGATGTGTGTGAGTGTGCTAGTCGTGCAAGTAGGTTCTGGAGGGTTGTGGTTAGCCTTATTGAGATAAAGTGTTATTTTGGTTTACGCTTCCTCCAACCCTTCTCCCTCCCTCCTTCTGTCTTACGCTCACTCATCTCAGCATGCTCCTGGCAGAGGGATTGAAGTTTCTGCAAATACCCTTTTGATAACTCGCAGAAATGCAAACACATAAACATGAAACGGGAATGAATACTGTTAACACAGCAGTTGCATACAGTTACATTTAAATTCGATGGTGTTGGTGTCTTTTCACATAGTTTGGTATGGTATTTATTCTGTATACATTTTTTTGAGGAAACAATAGGGAAAACTTAAGACTCCAAGTTCCAGGAAAGTTAAATAAGAACATATTTGTCTAAAAACATTTACAAATGTGGCTGTAAATGCATTAACTGTACATGCATGTACGATGCGAGCAGCGTTTGTCAGTCAGATTGTTGCCTTCTTCTTTGCTGCCTGTGTGTCTGCGTTGCTGTAATTATAAGTAGTCCGTTTGCAAAAATGTATAAAAAAAGAAACTTGTCCATCATTTCCTGATGCTCCTCCCAGGCTGGGTGTCTCAGCGGGGGGGCTGGGAGGGACACGCACACTCACACTTTTCATGGTGTGTGAGGAAGATCTCATCGATCACCCAGCGCACCTTCACCGGCCTCCGATGGCGCTGATGCAGACTGACCTCTGGGGCGTACTTCAGCACCTAAAGGAGTGGGATAAGAGAGCAAGGATGAAGAGGGGCGGTGATAACATTGATTTACTTTTGCCTGGAGGGTTAGTGTTACGGGAAGGGTAGGTGTTGACAATACTTATCAGCTCATTGTAGCTGATGCCAAAAAAATGCAATTTGAAAAAGCGAAGGACATGAGAAATGCTGATGAAAATAAGAACAAATAACTTCATACTGAAGCAAGTAAAATACAGATTAGATAGCAGGCAAGGTTTCTAAAGTGCATTGTTGTACTGTGAAACAGTGGCGGCCAGGAGACAACAATTACACATCCACCCTTTATCTTGTTAATCATAAATCACCACACTGTACTATTTCAACATTCATCCCTTCATATTTTTATCAGGGAAACTTGGACTTGTTCCCATTAGGAGAAAATGCAGGACAGGTTGCCAAGGAACTCACTGCTGATTGTGAAATAGAAAATGGTTTGCAGTATCTCAGATAACACACCAAACATATGTACAGTGTGCACAGGAATCACAGATAAAAACAGACAAACAGTTTGCTGTTTTACAATATATCAAAAAGTTGGCATTTTCATAACAAACGTTAGATGTTAAAAGGCTCTCTGTGCAAAGAGAGTCTATATAAGTACTATGGAGTTGATTTTATAGTTAGAATAAGTCAGTGTTTCCCTGTTACTGACTGTGTTGTAGATGGCCATATTGTTGGCTAGAAGTACAAACTGTTCCACAACTGATGCAGTCAATTTGTTCTCCAAAGCCCAGTGAAAGCAAAACTGCCCATGATTTATGTCAGGGCTTCCCGGCACTGAAACAATAGTGTGAGTAATAATGTGTTTCTTAAGAAGTGAAGTCAGTGAAGGAAGCAGGTACAGATCTAACAGCCTACAAGGGGAGAGGAAAGTAGGACGGAAATCTCTTACAAACACACACAAGAAAACTTGTAAGCTATTTTCCGCATGTACAATATATACAAAACACTACATTTTCAACGCTTACATACACACCGGCTTACATACACATACAATTACAACCCGAATCCCACTTTTGTCTACATTTATTTAGTATGGACAGCAAGGGAGAGAGAGACAGAGAGAGAAACCCTGCGGACCATGTTTCAATAATGAAGCTATACAAGAACAAAGACACAAAGAGATGGAGGGAATTTGAGAAAAGAATGAATGACAGGCTTAAAGAACAATAATGGTGCATTGCAAAGGGATAAATTGAAAATTGGAATTGGGGAAAATGAAAGGATGATGGCAGTCTAGAGAGACAGAGAGAGTGATACAATGCTAACAATGCAATGAGAGAGATTGGAGAGAGAATTTGTGAGGCTTCTGGTGCATTGCTGCTTCATTGTTGATGCAGCGCCTTCCTTTGCACACCCAAAATCTCTCTCCTTCTCACTCGCTAACTCTCACACCATCTTTTTAGCCCCTTTCAAGTACACCTCAAATGTGCCAGAAATGTCACATGTAAGGCTCATGTTGGAAAAAGCCCACGCATCACTTTTCTGTAACGCTTCCAGCACAAATCAACTATAAACTGTCACATTAATGAAAGGGCCTCAGCTCGCACTAGCATACAGTTGTCGGCAGTGCTATCTAAAGCAAAAAATAACTACCTTCTGTAAAAGCAAAGCTGTTTGACTGCTCTCATTCCAGATCAGTTGATCAGAGGTTATTTTTCCCTATCAAGGCGAAGGATACAAAAAGGGAATAATCATCATGCATCCTAACCATGTTCTTGTCAGCAAATATGAATTAGCAAAGGTCACAACCTAACATCTTGTACTTTTTTCCTATGCTTCAGCAAGGTCAGGGATCCACCATGCTCACAATGTTGTTTAATTATGAAAGCAGCCACAGAATCACTGGTAATGTTCTTTCATTTATCATTTCATTACTTTCCAATTTTCTGCTGGAGAATTTGATGATGCTTCCTTTCGCACACCATGTACCAAATACCCCAGGAGACAAGACAGAAGTGTGTGAGTGTGTGTGTGTGTGTGTGTGTGTGTGTGTGTGTGTGTGTGTGTCTACCTCGTGTAGTTTGAGAGTCGTCTTGGAGGCCTGACAGGTACAGCCGGTGTTCCAGTTCTCCGTTCCGCAGCCACAGTTGCCTCCACAGCGTTTGAGCAGCAGACATCGGGGGAAGAAGACGGCGTTGGTGGCCCTCAGCTCCTCTCTCAGGTTCACAGAGTAATTCCGAGGCGTACAGCTGTAGCGCTTGACGTCGTCATAAAGGCGGTTCAGATCAACTGGACAGTGCGTCAGAAAAAGAGAGCAGATAAGGCAATTAGTTCAGTTTTTGTTTATTAAAGGAAACCTATCATGCTATATTAAATGATATATTGTAGGGCCATACCTATATAAGGTATATTTATACATTTCTGTTTTCAAAATACCAAACAGATCATGCATTTTAGCCATGCCTCATTTCGCTCTATGTGTTGTTTGCTGTCTACGGGTCTGATTCTGCTGACCACGCCCCCCTGTAGGAGAGAGGAGACGTGCTCTGATCAGCTGCTGGGCTGTCAGAAGAGGGGGAGAAAAAGAGATCTCCGTCCTCCGTGTTTTATTATATAGAGTCGTTATTCATTTGTTTTAAAGCTCAATAAATAACAAAGAAGACCTTTGACCGGCACTTTTCTAATTTTGTCCGGAAGATTTAAACTTTAACGGACATCTTGACCGGCGAAACAAACTGAAACTGAAACTCTGCCGCACGGTCCCCTCGTTCCTTGGAAGAGGCGGAGAGGTGGGTGTTTGTCATCTGCTGGTGGACTAACCGGAGAGAATTTCAGTGCTTGCCTCGACGGGGAGGGATTGCATTGAATTAAAGCAGCGGGAGCAAACGCTTGCCTCGGGGAGGGAGAAAGAAAGCCACAGCGGAGAATAAACAGAAGGGTAACCATGGTAACCAAGTCTTCTTCGCTGCTTTTGTGGCAGACTACAGCGCCACTTACAGGCCTGGCATATGTACTACAGCGTCTCCAGCACTTTCGAACGGCAATGGCCGTGGCTGTCTCCTCCTGATTGGTGGAGTTGGCCCAATAGCCGTAGCGCCACTGTCCTGACGTTAGTAAAGTGTTCAAATCTGGATCAGTTTTTATCAGATCCGTTGCAGCCCCTTTTTTAGAGATTTGGGTATGGAGGAAAATAGAGAGGGTTGTGTTTTCTGACACTTAGTGAGTTCCCTGGAACACCGGGGACACATATTCATGTATAAAAGACGTACACAAGTGCGTTTTGCATGATAGGTCCCCTTTAAGTTTCCCTTTTGATGTGTCTGTTTTGAACTCCACTAAAGGAAGTGTGAAGGAGACAAAAAGCCGTTTTGATTTCATTCTTGGTTGCCAATTGCTTAGCATCATCAATAATACAAATGTGTGACATGATGGAGCAAGAGATGGAAGGATTATACGGGCGAGGAAAGCAAAGTAGCAGCAATTCTTGTAGAAAATATGGCCAGCATTGATTGAATGAAAATGGTTGAAAGGCGGGGGGATACTTTTTAGATACGAGTACAATTGCAACATAAATTGACTGCTCAGGAACAGATAGAGAGAAGACAGACACAAAGATGCAGAAAGAGAGAACATAAGCCATAGAAGGACGCAGGGGTCATTAATTGATTGTACAGTACATTGAATGTATTGACCGCAGTCTTCCTGTCACCACTTTGGAGAAAATTACTCTGTGTGTGTGTGGACCTTTGTTCATTGGCATCCTGTAATGGTGCAAAACTAATTTCAGGAGAACCGACAGGATTACAGGACAAGCTGAAGAGAATTATTAGACTCCACACTAGTCTAGAGGGGAAAGCAGGAGCTCCTGAACCATAATCTTGAATCAAATATGTCCTGATTCTATGTTACACTAGGATTGTAATTAGAGACCACTAACTATATCAGCAGAATTACATTTTGTTGCTCAGGTGGTTTAAAAGAGAAATGGGTTTCTGGAGACAGAAAATTAATTAGAGGGCATAAATAATATATGGGAAAAAATGGGTGGTGATCACACAATGCCATTGTAAAAGTTATTTTGCGATACTACAATACTAGTTAAACCTCTAAGCTTTAAGATGTTTAGTTTCATCTGTGGATAGAACAATAAATATATAAGTTATGCAAAATGGCAGCATTTTTTGATAACAAAATGCATCCGTCTCTGAATTTGGAAACTCTAAACAACATGATTTTATATTCAGTAGTGACTTCTGCATACATTCCAATAATACGGAATTATTTATGTGAAAACACAGCATCGTTTATCACTGTGAAGTTGCTCATTTGCTGCTTGGAGGAATAAAGTTTACGTTAACCGTGATATAGGTATTCCTGATCCCTGTTTGTTCTGCAAATAAGCTCGACAGACTTTTTCGAGGAGGATCCCATTAGGACTCAAAACAGCTTGATGACATAGTAACACACAATCAATATAGGCGTGAGCCACATTATGTCTATGACAATAAACTTGATTAGTGTTAAGTTTAAGAAAAACATAACAAAAGATTGGTGGATTGTGAGTAGAGTCATTAGTCAACATGAATGGTTGATTTTAAGCCCTTGATCACAGTGCTTTTCTTTTGAAGCTTCGGTGTAAGCAGAACTGATTCTCGTTCTATTTGTTCCCCCTTGTTTGTTTTATTTACTGCACTTATAAAAAAGCACGTAAAAAGGCAAGGATATTCCCTTAATGGTCTGCTGAGGTTTATAAAAGACAGTTTTAAGGGCCAGGGCAGACACCCACTGGACTTCATTCTGGTGCTTCACTTTAGGAGAGAGTGACTGAACAACCTCTCAGCAAAAGCAACATGACAAGAAAAACAATTGCTGATGCATTTACCGTTATGGTCGAATGCAAGTGTCTCCTGTTCAAGAGAATAGGTAAAGGGCGCTAGACTTTTGAACAGAGTAGTGAGTAGAGCTTGCCCTTTAGTGGACTGTGTCTACGCACAATACATGCTATTCTGAGTCTGAAGCTATTTAGTGCCCATACCATAAATGGCTTCCCAAGTAATGGTATCTCCTTATTTCAGTAGGTTCACAAAAACTGGGGTGTAAGTGGCTTCATCACCAATTGTTTTTATGTTATGCAATTTGGCTTGGATTAAGCAGTGTTGAGACATTTCAGCATTATCAGACTGAAAGAAAAGAGAAGCAGGGTTTGTAAATGAGGGCCATTTTTACTGCTGATACAAGGTGGAGTGTGTTGTTTGATTCTCTTTTGAAGCAAGCAAAGAGCTAAATAGTGTGACATGGGATAATCATTTCTTGAAACAAGTTAAATATTTTTTCACAGGAGTTCATTTGCAGTGAAGATGAATTAGGTTTTATTTGGTCATTGCTAAATGTTTCCCTTCAATGAAGTGGAAAGGGCTTTTATAAAACAATACGAGAATAAAGACTTGCCTAGATCGATATTTGCGGTGAACTAGAGCTACCATTTGTTGTGATTGGCTTGCATTGGCTTTTGAGCTTTGCTGCAACAATAAAGATCAGTCATGCAATAGAAACTGCCTAGAAATCGCATATCCTCCGTATTAGTATAATAAGGGTGAGCGTAAGGAACCAAAGGGAAGTGCAATGGGGTCAAGGAGAGCATAATGGCATTGATAATCAATAAGCAATTGTTCACAAAAAGAAGTCTTTTCAATTCAATTCATGACATAAAACATGTGGGAAGCCGGTGAACAATGAAAAGATAAGAGCATTTGTTTTAGTAATACATAAAGAGAGATAAAGGTAAAAGGTGCACTATTTTTTATCAACATCATTGATTGTGCTTCCATCTCAGTGGTAACATTACCCGTGTTTACAACATGTGTTTCATTCGAGCCCTTTACAGTTGCATGGCAGATTACAAACAAATAATATTAGATATAATGGGCTGATAGAAAATACATTTTTAGTTCATGTCTGCATGTGTGTGAGTAATAACAGGTTCAAAAAGGACAACTGATACTTAACAGCATGTTTTTCAGGTTTAACAACATCAGGGGATTTATCGGTGTGTACTTGGATAATTGGAAAAATATCACTTGAGAAAAATATTAAGAGAAACTGAAAATACTGACTCTTTGCTATACTATTCTAGTAATGTAGAAACTGCACTGTTTAACCCCATCATATACTGTAGCAACAGATAGATGCAATGTATGGGCAACAACCTTATAGGCTTGAAGACATTTGAATGTTGAATAGAATAGCAATGCATGTTTTTCTTCAAAATACAGCAAATGCAGGAGGAGCGAAATACTTTGGCTCAAAAACAAATTTTAGATTTTTGTTGCTGCTTTTTCCTTTGTTGTGAAAAATATAGATGACAGTGGACCCATCTTTGCTGGGGTTTTTTGTTGTGATCTTAGTGAAAAGCAAAATAGCCGACTTTCAACAAGCGACGGTTATATTGTTGATGGCAGAGTTGTGATGCAGAAATCATAACACGTGTTTCTAACTTTGTAATGTCTGCCTACCTCTCCCAAGGTGATGAAAGGCTTGATGTAAAGAAGCCGATTCAAAGGAACATTGAATCATCGAGACAGACTCATGCAATTCATACAACAGGTACGTGTGTCTGTGTGTGTGTGGTGGAGGATGCATTTCTACGCTGTATCAGTGAAGACAAAGGCACACGTCATGCCTGAATGTGTAGGGGTGTATACTGTTTGTGTTCCTGCGCTTGCATGGCCGAGCTTGTGTCTCTTTAAGGGGAATAAGTGTAATCTCAGAAAGGCAGTGGCGTGGAACCCTGTCAGAGTGTGGAGGAGAAACGACAGACGGGGACAGCAAGACCGAGAGAAAGCAAGACTGCAAAAAGTGCTATGTTGCTCAAACAGCAACCAACATGAAAAAGTGAAAATTATCAAATACGTTTCTGCCCTAAAGTTGTCGACAAGGGTTTGTGTTATTGTTCGTGAGTTATATATGTGTTAGTTACTTGGACTTAAAAGTGTCCCAATTTATATTCTAATAAGGCTTACTGTCCTTCATGGGAACAAAGGTGGGCGTGAGCTACTGAGTGTGTGTCTCCTAATGAAAACAAAGCTAAGCTGCTGACTGAGGCACATTTCTGCTTCGCTGCACAGGTTGAATTTCCAATTAGAGAAAGCTACTCCGTACAGTGGATCAAATACCTGCAGCACCTACTGTACCATATGCACCTTTCTGTAGTGCTGCAGCACGCACAAACTCCCAATATATAGACCTTTTAATGCCTGCCAGCACACGCATGCACTGATAAATAGAAATAGATTTGCTGTCAGGCACACATGTTTACTAAGGTACAGGAGGGCCACTGGGTAGAAAGAGGGAGAGAGAGATACGGAGGGAACAGGTGAGAGACGGAGTGAAAAGCACTCGTTTAAAAGCTTAAAAGTTACTGTAGACACACTCATGCCCCATGATTGTGTGACGTCTGTGTGTGATAAGCATATTCGTGCGAAGACATCCGCTATGTGCATTTCTAGGCAACATCTATTGCGTCAGTGACTCCAGGTCCAGAATTGCCTTGAACCCGCTGTTTCCGTGTCACCTTAAATCAATCAGTGACTCACTTTTCAACCCACGAGAGGGCAAACTGCTCATTTGATGATGCAACGACTGTAGTCAGGCTACAGTAGGTTGTTGCATCACCACTCAGCAGGAGCTGCTCCCTTTTTTTTTTTACTATTGATGTTTTATATTTCTAGATACTAGAAAAAGGGCAAACATTTACATTTTACTTTTATATATGTCTATCTTTCAAGTTCAAAAAGTGCTTTCACATCCAGAATCATCTGAATGTTCTTTTAAGACAATTTTCTTTCTCCATTTCTGTAAATGTTTCATCGCAAAGCAGTAATATGGCTTCATCCCAGACATAATTCCCTTAAAATGACCGAGCCGTTAACTTTGTCCGCTGCAATGTTGCACAACTGAGTTTTATGTATGGCGCAATATGTAAGAATGGGCCTCATGTTGTGTGGCTCATTCTTGGTCAGCACGAGGCATCACGCTCCCCCCCCCCCACCCCTCTATTACACCAGCTACTGTACCAGTGACTGCACCAGTCTGCAGAGAAATACTGTGAGTGCAGCAGAGTTGTGGAGGATCACCATCTGTAGCACAATAAAATGGGATCAAAAGACACCACTCTAATCGTCCTGCATGAACTTTACTGACGTGTATATGTGAATACTGGACCTGTAGTCAGGATTTGTATTGAACGTCTCATTACATTCAAAGAAAAACATCTCTGCATGTGCTTGAGAATCAGATTGATGCATATGATCATTTCGTCAAGTGAAAAACTAAAACCCCAAATTACATTTTTATGTCTGAACAATTTTCTCCCTGGTATTATCTTTGGGATTTTCAATCACATTAAAAGCCACATTTTGCGTTATTATCTGCATTCACTCATTTTACAGACTTTTTACACTTCACCATTTAGGTAATATTTTACATTTCGCATAATTGGTTTTTCCTTTTCATCCTTTGTATAGTAGGTGATCTGCTGGATGTACGCATATTGTAGGGACATGGTACATTTATGACTATTTAAATGCTGCAGAACTGGAGCCTTCCTTCAATTTTGACTTTTTATGTGTTTATAGTTTGATATTATCCAACAAATGTGTACTCTTTTGCATAGTGTTGAATTTCAGTTTGGTTTTTTAACTATCTCGTAATGTGTCAGCTAATTCTGGTGTCAGCACTTATATCAGAGATGGTCAAACTGATTATTGTCATGCAAGGACAATGTATGTTTGCTTTCATTGTGTCTAAACTGAATCTCTTCAAGATTATTTATATGTTGGACAGTTTAATGTATGGCTTTATAAACTTTGGAGATGTAAAGTATATCTTACCTTTATTCTGTCTGCTTGCCAGATGATAGGCCCTGGATCTATAATGTATGTGTGTTTGAGTGTAGATGCTGTCCAGGTCCTGTCTCCAGGTGTCTGGGCTGAGCGACCTGAACAGCTGCTCTACAGTTTCAAAGGCAGCAATGGTCCGGTCCAAATCCTCCAATGAGAATGGAACCTCGGTGACTGCCACTGGCATCTGCCCTCCAACAGCGTCCTGCAGATAATAAAAGTCAAAGACAAAATGACCAATTATAATATTCATTTAGGCACATTCTTACTTCAGCAATTGTTCATTCACACATTGTTACCAACAGCACATATGAAAGAGCCATGTGTCAAAAGCTCCTTGAAATGTGTTGGTTTGTTCCACCATTATTATGCTTATAGAAATAAAGTGTAACCTCATTTAAAAGTTACTGGACAGCGAGGGGACAACTCACGCCGCAGCTGTATACACAGAGATGCAGCTGAGATGGAGACTAACATGAAAACTGAAGTTTACTCAGACTTAGTTTCAAAGTTAACATTTATTGTAAGAGCTTCAATACATGGACTTAATAAGTATACATTGAAATGAATGTTTCATGATATTGTTTGCAATAAATGTGTGTATGTAAACCATGTTATGGCACCACATAAGACAAGTCAAATGCTCAATTAGATTATTGTTCAAATAAACGACATATTGCCATCTGATACAATTGTTTTTTTTATTTCCACTATAAATTGTAAATGTTTTTGTTTTTTTACATTATGAGTCAGGAATTTTGAAAACCAATGAAGAGATGAAAAAATGAATATATAGCTATTTGTATTTTCTGATTTAAGTTGCAACCAAGAACCCTAATGTAAAATGATCACAAATCCCAGGGAGAAACCCATGATTACAGATGAGTTCAGGGCCATTTGAATATAAAATGGAGACTACATGTGACTCCCATCTCTACTGGCAGTGACATACATAAACATGGAAAACATACACCCACACACACATTTAACCATTATCAATCCATGCAGAAAAACTGCCAATGCATACTAATTATTACGGTCACATAATGTCACTGGACCCCACTACTCTTATACACGAACACACACAGATTACACTGATGTATAAAAACATTAGACTATAGAAGCATGCCATTTTAAATCTTAGGCTTCATTCTCAAGTATATAAATGCATGAATGCATTCTGTGTGTGGGTTAGCCTATGCAAATGGACCATATGTCATATTCATTAGTGTAGCCATTGTTCCCTGCTGTGCTTAAGAACACACTTATATGTGAGCTGACATGGTTGGAAGGCAGGTAGGTTGTTGGTTTTGAAATATCACGTTATTTTTTCTATAATAGTATATGCAGTTATCAAAACATAGTTTGGAACAAAGGAATTAAAGGTCTTCAAAAAAACACTTAAGATGGTGATAACATTTTCCTAGCTGTACATTTATTTGTATGTTTTATATAACTACTAAAGACACATTTATACCAATATATTTATTTGTATTTTGAATGGCTAATTTGATGGCTCTTTTTTTTGCCGAAAAAATATCTCCTATTTGGCTGAGATCATCATGCATTTTTATTTTCAATTCTAATATATAACTATTTATAAAGTGTGAATGTGCATGACTCACCGACATGGGCATGGTGACGGCCTCCCAGTTGGTGTTGGACGCAGGCCGGGGAGATTCATACTGCAGGAGAGGAACACAGGAATAACCATTCATCAGTTGGTCAATTGAGCAGACATTGAGACACTCAAGAAATCAAACCAAATGAATTGAGTGCCTTAAAAAAGGTCAAGTGGTTTTTCAGATAACTTGAGATTCTGATTGATTGAGGACTTAAGGTACAATAAAGCATTTGCCAATAGTTCCCAAAGCAACTGTGTATATGATTTAGGTGAGAATAATATAATCATGATCCTGTGTTAGGGCGAAGTGACCTACGGGTTTTTGCTCTGCTATGCATAAAAGTCCTGTTGTTGCTGAAACTGCTTTGAAAGTAAAAGTGTATCTGTTCTGTTAGATAGCCCACTGACGCAAAAACATTGTTGCACTTTAGTTATTAAGCCACTTGTTTTTTCATTTCTCAGACATGGCATTCATATGGTACATAATATTTGATTACAGTTACTGTGAGTGACGTTTGAGGTTAAAAAACAGAAATGAATCCACATGTAAAAAGTTTAAAGGTGCAGCCTAAGGCAAATTAATTCTATATATCACTCAAATGCTCCTTTTCCCTTTATCTCAAAATAGTTGTCTTGGGGTGGAGCTCAACATGTTATGTACGGTTATCCAAGGTTCTCAGGTATCTGTCTGTCGCTGGCTGACTGACTGTCAGTATGATCCTAAAAGAATTTCCAGTGAAGCCGGTCCCAGCATGCCTTTCTGTGTGTTTGTGGAAGTAGTCAGACTCTGGTCAAAGCATGTTTAGATCATAAAAACACTCATCAGACTGACATATTTGGCGCACATGCACATATTATTTGTATTTTTCTTTCTTCCTCTATCTCTTTCTTACTATCTCCATTGCCCTCTCTCTCTCTCGCTCGCTTGCTCTCTCACACACACACACACACACACACACACACACACACACACACACAGTACATCAACTCAACTGGCACTCCAATCTCCTTTAGAGTCTTAAATACCATCCACGGTCAATATGGAACAGTAAATCTTTCTCAAACGCACTTCAAAGACACCGTGCTCTCACTGTGTGTGTGTGTGTATATGTGTGTGCGTGCTAATGTAATATAATTGGCATCAAAGCTTGTCTGTGTGCGAAAGTTTTTGTTAAACAGATTCTCGCATGTAGCCTTTGGATAAATGAACTTGTACATCCAAGCCAGCTGTGATTGAGTTCAGAAGGTTTCCTCTAAGTGTGTGTGCGAGTAAATGCATGTTTACAGATTCCTTTTCTCATTTCCTTTTAAGGTTAAATGCTTCATCAAGCACATCTGGGACACTTATGGTTGGAAAAAGGTTTATGAGACAGAACATTAAGAGGGAGGACTGTAAACCTCTGATCAGTCTGAAGTCCCTGCCAGCTACAGTACCAAACTTTTTCCCTCTCAAATTACGAATCACATTTTTATCTCTAGTTCTAGTTGAATGGAAATGTTGTCTTGCATGGGTTGGGCCTGAGCCGCTCTCTACCTGTCTGAGGCTTAACGTTTATAGACAAGCCTTAATGAAGCAGAGTTTTGAGGCTATGAGTGAGGAAACCCTTTTAAACCTCATATTCACTGCTTACAGTTTTGCTAAACCAAGCAGTATATAAATGTTAATGTAGCATTTAGATATTTTAGATATGTACATGTAGTAGTCATAAATGGATTTTTTATGAAGATTAGATTAGAATCGGAGGATAAAACCCTCTTTCATTGTCACACACACATGTCCATGCACACAGCACACACAGTGAAATTGGACCTCTGCATTTAACCCATCCTAGTGCTTTCGCAATGAAGTTGCTAAGAAGCTCATTCTGTAGCTGAATTGTTTTTGAATCAACTTTGAAAAAAATATCATGTATAATATTTGTTTAGGAGGCTGAAAAATAATATTGCTGGCAATGTTGCCATATTCTCCGGTGGTGAGGGAATAGATTGTTATTTACAGTCGCAGTCTAGTGGAGGGGACACCAGGGAGCTGCCCTTTTCAACCCCCATTTTGTACAGTTGGACACTTGAGCGTCTGAGGATGAGGTGTGGGGTAGATGGGGAGGAAGGCAAGAGCATATCCCTGTCCACTTTTACTCCGCATGACCGGTTATCTCACTTAGTGCCAAAGGACATTGAAGAGATGCTATGTCACACAATGGGGTGTTGTTGGTATCATTTTGTGTGAAATTCTGAGGAATCTCCGTTCAGTATGAGAATCACACATGTTGAATGACTATGGGATTCTGGGAACTAGCTTGGATCCTATTTCCTGATCAATAGTAATTTCCCGCTGCACCTGGCTAGCAGCACTTCTCTGGAATACCCATCAAAAATACATTACTGTTACTTGTATGATCCAACACAGCCAAAATCAATATGGGAGACAAACAAACACAATACAAAATCTATACAATTGTGAAGCCTTACAAAGATCAACTGAGAGCAACTTCTCTACACAATAAATATAATGTTTTTGTGCAGTCTTGAGGTTTCATTGAGCCTTTCTAAGCAAACGGTTCCTAAAATCTTTATCTTATGCAATCAGAAGCACTCATTACTCTATTTCAACCTGCACTGCAGACAAATCACACCGGCTTAAAGCAAGATCTGGAAAGGATCAAAGAATAATGAATTAGGGCAGAAACAGTGACCAGAATATTGAGTAAGGCCTCTGTTTGACTGCAGACAATGCTCGTATGTATTTGTTGGAGGGAGCACTGTGTTTTTATATTGCACAAAAAAGTCCAAGGATATTTAGCCCTGTTCTGAAATGTGCTGTCAATTTCATTTCAAGTGTTTTAAATATGAATAACATTGGGATTTGTAATATACTATACTTTACACTTGGACAAAATGTAATATATGTGTCTCCATAAATCAGATGACAAATCTGATTGCTATTTGTCTTGGTTTTTCCAGGCTACATGCAGGTCTACGTAAACCTCTCTCCAGCTCAGTGTGCATGCTCCTGAAGCTGTTTGGTATCGGCTAAAAATGAAGAAACGGAAAATGAAGAGTAAATGGGCATAACAGTGCAGCAACATTTGTGCACAACACAAACATCGATAACTCGCCTTTATGTACGACAAGCAAGGCAAGTGTTCATCTTCATTGCTTCTACTGACACCGCTTCCTCAACCAAACAGATCAGGGCTCTGTCATCAACAGATCATTAAGGGGTTTGAGCTGATCAGGCTTTAAATATATTACTTTAACAACTTCCTATTTATCCTGTATTTCTGTATGTGTTGAAATGTGCTAAAGTTTAAGTAAGAAGAGAGAGAAAAGACATACACTGCAGTGACACGATGCTCCTCTAATTAAAGAGCAGCCACAAAAAGTCATTAACGGCAGCAATAAACGTCATTTTTCCCGCATTTCACATCCTCCGCTTTGCCTCAAATAACACATTTTTCTTATTTTGACACACCCGTGATAAGAGTTCATTCATAGTGTGGCTGCTCTGGTTTAAAATAAACAAGACCCACACACATTTTGACATGGCAAGGGTTTACTCTTATTTCCCTGTATGCTTTCATGTGACTCCACTCTCCTTTCTTTTCTTTTATCTCACACTGACACTTCTTTGCTTCCCCTCATGTATTCTTCTTTATCTAGTCAACCACAGTCCATTCCATAGCTCACTACCTCACACATGCCTCTCTCTGTCAGCTGCTCTCAGTTCAGGTTGTTTCAGTGATTAGCTGACATGCTGATACCATCTCAGACACCTGTTCTCTCCTTCCAATGCTGCTTCTGCTCATTCTCTCTCTGCCTCGCTCTTCCTCCTTTCCTCTGGCTGCCTCTTCTCCTCCTCCCTCTTATCTGTTCGACAGGTCTGGAGAGAACAAATTAGACCTGCTAAATTAAGCCACACACACAGCTCCAGTCTAGCTAAAGGGAATCTGTATGTGTGTGTGTGTGTGTGTGAAAGATGGAAAGATATAAACACATACTCAAAAGCAGGAGCTCTTTGAAAAATGGGTAAAACGGATCCAATAAGATAAACCTCAGGAGTTGGATTCTACACAGAGTTGCGTTTATTTGACCAGAGGAGGAATAACAAAGGGTGAGGAGGGGAGGGAGGGAAGACGAGAAGGCAGCAGAGAGAACGTCTGAGAGAGAGAGATAAGGGAGTTATAGTTTGGGGAACTTTTACTTTGTTGTCATCATGCTGGGTTGAACAGTGTGAAGTTGCTTGCTGGTGGTTTTAGTTGAGGTTCTTTGGGGGCTCATTTATCTCACACACACATTTTCATGTGTCTCACACACACACACACGTTTGTGGCTGTGGTGCCCTTAGAACTTTGTGCCGTGTTGCTATGGCAACCCATGGATTTGTTGTGGTGTGGGGCTTTGGAGGTCATCTGCATTTTTGTGATTGTCTTGATTTGATTTGCATTCAATAGGGACGCCACCTTAATCTTGGTGTCTGGACATCGTTAAGAATACACTATAGGGATTTGTTGATGTTGTTTGATGTTTTAATGTTTTGTAAATTATGTGAACTACATACATACGGGGAAAAACAGGATTCTTGATCTACTTTGCTTCAGTTCAACTAACAGTAGCCTACACATTAATGCATCACTAATATTAACCCAACATAGCATCTTATGGTTGTCATCCAACACTTCTGTTTCTTCGATTAATTAAAACTGGGAAGACTTTCTATTGGGTATTTTTACATTGTGGAATTGTTACTTCTGCTTAAAGGAGAATGCATAACTATTGTAGCTAAGCGTGATACAAGTAACTTATTCCTCTCTGATATTGATGTTTAAAATCTACTAAGGCTTAGTCAGTCATTTTACTTCATGATAAACATGGGCACTGTAGGTGATTAAATCCCTCATCCCTTACCGCCCTTCTGCCATAAATACTAGTTAACTACAAATGTGTATTGATCTGCAGTTGTAATATCCTCCAAAAATGAATTATTTACTCCAGTTTGAGTGGCATTTGCTTAAAAACAAAACAAAGAAAGTATATTAATGTTAACGTCTTCTACAGAAACCAATGAGTTTATCTGACAGGGTAGGGAAGTTATAAAGTGTTGACAAACACATCCTTTTATTGGGTCTGTCAGAAACAAAAACCCATGGAATGATGACAGCTTATCACTCAAATAAAAAATCTTGGAACTTCGTATTTCGGGTGAGAGAAAATAAATGTTTTTGCTGGGGAAGTGTAGAGGTTTTAGTACAAATTGTGATGAGAGCGCAGGGTAACTGTTATTGCTGGAGCTATAATGTAAAAAGAGATGGTATGAAAGTGAAGGATGCAGTATTTCTCTCTCTGTCTTGGCCTTTACTCCATCTGTGCTCATACTATTTTCTTTTTTTCTACTTTCTTTCTCAGATAATAGGCGATGCCACCGGTTCAACCTTGTCCGTGTTTCTATGTCTCTTCCGTTCTCTCTCCTCTGCACTAAAAGAGAAAACCGGAGAACATTACAACAGCTGCTCTTTCTCTCCCCATTTTCTTTTTGATTATAGAGTGGGAGAACATCTTCGAATCAGAGTCCCTCTCTTTCTTCTTTTCTCTCCCTGACAGAATGACAAAGTTAATCTCCTTATCCGTTTGTTTGACAGCCTTTAAGCGAACACTTTCTCATCGTCACCCCCCCCCTGTTTCCCCTATCACTGCATCTCTCCTCTACTGTCGAGTGGACGTGTGAGAAAAGAACAGTTGGCTAATGCATTTTGGCATTACACTGACAGTGTAACTATATCCTCCCTCTCCCCCTTCCTCCTCTCCCATCGACATATCTGCTCCCATGATCCCATCCCTCATTTTTATTGTGGAGGTAAAAGAGTGAAGGAAGTACTTTACCTCAAGCATTGCAGTGGTACTTGGGCTGAACCCGATGTGACAAAAATAATAATAAAACATTTAAGCTGTGTCCCATGTAACAAATCATGATTCATCACTGTGTGTGTGTGTGTGTGTGTGTGTGACTGTGTGTGTGTGTGTGTGACTGTGTGACTGTGTGTGACTGTGTGTGTGTGTGTGTGTGTGTGTGTGTGTGTGTGTGTGTGTGTGTGTGTGTGTGTGTGTGTGTGTGTGTGTGTGTGTGTGTGTGTGTGTGTGTGTGTGTGTAAGTTAAAGTTAAAGTGTTCTCACCAGCAGGGAGTAGAACACTTTGAATCCCGGCTTTGCAACAAAGTAATCGTCAGACTTGAAGGTGACTCTGAGCATGTTGGTTTTGGAGTTGAGACTAGGCGGTGCCTTCTGCCCACACCAGCGACCCCAAATGATAGTGCTGGTCTCTGATTGGTCCTCCACTTCAACAAAGTCATACCTGGAGCGAGAGATGGTAATGGAGAGGAAGATGAATGTGTGGCAGGGAAGAGCAAAAGATGGATGATGAAAATGTCACATTGCAACAAAAAGCAAAGGTTAAACATGAATGTGTCTTCACCAATAAAGGAATTAACATTGAGGGAAATTAATTGACTTATAAACAGGGGGCTTATTTTTGTACTTTTTATCCTTTTTGAAAAGAAAATACTGTGATTGCTGACATTTAGGAATTCAGTGGACAATTAGAAAAACAAAAATCTGAACTATGAAATAAGACCCACTTTGTTAAACTAATTTCCCTCAAAGTTATTGTGTGCGTTCAGCTCATTCTGACAATGCTAAGCACAATTGATGTTGATTGTATTGTCTTTAATACTTCAACTACGGTAATCAAAACGTTAACTTAAATCACTAAAAGCCACCTTGCCAAACTTCAGGACAACAATCCTTTTGTAGGAAAGGTTGTGAGAAAAACTTTCCAGCAATCAATGCTACAGTCAATTAGTGAGTGCAACACACACACACACACACACACACACACACACACACACACACACACACACACACACACACACACACACACACACACACACACACACACACACACACACACACACACACACACACACACACACACACACAATTTCAAAAACCGGGTAAGGCTACTCCGAACCCTTTCCAAATTCTCCGCCCTGCTGCTCCCTATTGTCTCTTCAGCAAAGTGCTTACAAAGGCGGCTGAGTTGCAAATGGGGATTAAAAAGTCTATTTCCTAGCCTCAAACCTCAAGGACAAACTTCTTCCTGCCAAGAAAGCAAACTTCAACTATCCATCTCTCTCATAGTGATTCCATTCCCAACACCTTCATTATATTAGTTCCCCTTACATCCTTAGTTGGTGCACTAATGTGAATACATCATCAGATCATTTTTACATATTTTATTGTTGTTGTTGTTGTTGTTGTACGGCCTTTCAACTCGAGATTTCTGCACCATAAACTTTTCCTGTTATCTTCCAAACAGTCCAATCCATCATATCTTTACTCACACTTTGGATCATTAGTTACTTTCATCTGACTTTCCTCCTTTACAGCAGCTTGTAATTCATCAATACTTGCTCTTCTTCACTCAGGTGTTGTCCGTGTTTCATTCTGTCTGTTTTGCTACTAAGCTCTAATCATCTCTGCTGAGATCATCCCTCCCTCCATCCTGTGTCTTACCTGCAGACCCCATTCTCAGCCTCCTCCAGTCCGAAGTGTCCGTCGAACTCCAGGTGTATGCGGCTCCCAGGTGGGGACAGCAGTTTCCATGACAACAGTACATTGCGGGGGTAAGCGTTGGGGTAGCGTGGGCTGTAGATGGCTCCTCTCACCGGCGTTACTGAGATGTTTTCCTCTTTGCGGTAAAAGTCTGTGGTGAGGCGATTGCTGTCTGTTAGTGGTTACAACTTATCAGTTAGTTAGTCCAATTCTAAATAAAAGCAATTAAAGCAGATTGTTTACCGACACAAATTAGAATGCTACGTGCAAAAACAACAATAAACTTATAGATAAGAGAGACAAAAGCACAAAAACACAGACAGCACATTTCCTCAGGCACTTCTAGAGTTTCCAGCCTGATGTACAAAGACATACCTAACAAAATAGTTGTGCAAACATGCCTATTTATATTCCTTTTTCAGATTTAAAGTGGACCTATCATGCTATATTTGAATAATATATTGTAGGGCCATACCTATATAAAACATATCTGTGAAGTTTTTTTTTCAAAATACCAAACAGATCATGCATTTTAGCCATGCCTCATTTCGCTCTATTTGCTCTTTTCCAGCCCTGTTTTTGCAAGGGCTGATTCTGTGAGAAGTCTTCTTCGCTGCTTTGGTGGCCGACTACAGCGCCACTTACAGGCCTGGCATATGTACTACAGCGTCTCCAGCGCTTTCGAGCGGCAATGGCCGTTGCCGTGGCCCAACCCCCCATTCCCCTGATAGGTGGAGAGTTGCCCATATAGGCAGAGCTCCCTGTTTCTGACGTCAGAACAATTTCAAATCTGTATCAGCTCCGTTGCAGCCCCGTTTCTAGAGATTTGGGTATGGAGGAAAAGAGAGAGGGTTGTGTTTTCTGACACTTGGTGAGTTTCCTGACACACCGGGGACACATATTCATGTATAAAAGACGTACAAAAGTGCATTTTGCATAATAGGTCCCCTTTAAATAAGAGGTTGATACAGCTCTTAGATACGGTATGTCCCCTCAATATGAACTTACAGCCATAATTCCTTTTAGCTAAATTGTGAGACTGGAAACGCCAAACCTGGCTCCGTCAGAAGGTAAACAGATCCTCATTAAACATCAGTTTGATGTAGGATTTTTATGTTATGTACTGATAAGACAAACAAAATATAATGTGTTCATTCAAAACTTTATGAATGGTTCTTGGCTTTTTTTCGTCAATCTTTAGAGAGAGCAAAGGGATGAGCTATTCCTTTACCATTCTAGTCCATTCTAGCACGGTTATATTTGATAGCTGACAAAATAAATAAAACTCACCTCTTTCATGATTCTAGGAAAGGGAGAGTTATATTTGAAATTATCATTGATTTTGTATTGTTGTATACAATTGTTGTAGAGTGTTTGTTCGTGTTTTTGTGTAACGTCTGAACTTATCACACATTTGATTTTGATACCTCTTGTGTACAAGTAGAACATTTGCCCTGACTGGGATACTAGTGAAAAGGTCAAGGTATCAACGAGTATGTTCAGATTCATTCTATGATGATCATAAATATCGACAGCAAATATGAGAGGAAATCTGGTCATGGACCAACATACCGTTCAAATAGGAATTAAGGATTAACTAAAACCTTGAGGAATAATTCTCTGGTGCCCAAGAATCATGTCAAGTAATACATAGTCTTTAACAAAGGGAATATACTGTAGTGTGTAAGGTACAGTATGTACTATACAAGGAACATAGCACATAAAACACGGTGTGCTTTGTTTAAGGATGCTTAGAAGTGTGTGTAAATAACAGTGTCTGCCTATATGCTCAAGTTTATTGCACTGCTGTGCTGAAACAGAGTATCTTTGCTGTTACTGTGCACAAAACACAGCATGTATTGTACCTTCCTACCTAACATCTGCTTTTGAGATTCATTGCTGTACTGGCTACTATAAACTATAAACATTTTTAAAGTCACGTTTTAAGTTCAATATTTTCTCATCAGTCATGATGAACATCATAATCAACCAGATGTCAAATCATAATGAATCAACTCAATTAATAAACAGTTTTTATATTTAATAATCAATATATACATTTTCCTTTGCCTACTTTCTGTAAATTAGAATTACACAACACATTTTATAGTTGAAGGTGAGGCTGTGTGCCGCAGTAGGCTGACAGGGCTGTATTTTCTGAGAGGTGTGTGGTTTTTGCAAAAAGAGCTGAATGCATAATCAAGCCACTTCAGCCTGCACCCCTGGGAGATGATGATGAAGCTTTGGCCCTTTCCTCCACCTCTTCACTGCAAACCCTTAATTCCTCCACCGGTCCTATCCCGTCTCTCCCCTTCTTCCTCTTTGCTTCAGTCAGTAATTCTGTCTCATCAGTCATTCCAGCAATTAACACTGTCCCTAAGTGTGTGTTTATGTTTGTTTGTGGGGAGAGAGAGATAGAGGGAGGGGGGTCTGTGTAAGAATGGGTGTGTGTGAGAGAGTGTGTGTACTTTCAACTATGAGCATTTATGCTTGTGTGAGAATGTCAAAATGCATGCATGTGCATTTCTGAGTGAGTGTGGGCTTTATTTGTAAAGGAATCCTTCCACTCTGATGATCAGAAGCCTGTGTGTGAAGGTTCATTCAGCTTACGTGTCAGGAACTTTCACCCACTAAGGTCACTGTGGAGCTGTGAGTGTGTGTGTAACAGCTTGAGTGTCGCATAGTACCTGCATATTTGTGGAAAGGTTGTGTTCACATATTTATGTAACCATTATCAATTCTCTGTATATGGAGTGGGTGGATAATTTATCTGAAGTCAACATTGTATGAGTTCGTTTCCCACTGACAATTAACAATTGTTCATGTGAATATAAAGACATATGCATAGCACTTCTTTTAAAAGCATGTTTAGTGTAAGAGATGCACCTTTATTTGAGATCTTGGGTAACATATAAGTGTATAACGCCATGTTGACACCCACACACATGCGTCTGAGGTGACTGCATCTTCTTACATTCAGACTCTATTGTTTCCACACACAACTATAGAAAAATAAAAGCCCACATGCAGCCACTGCAATCTCATCTCGAATCTATACAGTGTGCGATTGTGACTGATATAGCACAGCTACAACAACTGTCCAAATCCCCTAGTTTCAATGTTGACAAATTCTTGTTGGCTTTTGTGGGTAAATGCTCATTGCCTAGCACATACAGTAGGTCATACTATATCTGGGACTCCCTCAAAAAAATACAGCAAAGCAGCAGTTGTTAGCAGTTATGTTCCCTGCAAAGAATCAATAACCTCTGCCTTGTGTTCCCCAGAAATGCAAAGATGTTTTAATGTCAGGCAAACAGAAGTGGCTAATTCAATCCATGCATATCAAATGAGACATGCCTTTGACCTTCTCCAGGACAACAGAGAACATTAGCAGTGCCAGCATGCCAGTGCGAAATGAGTGAGATAACTTCAAATTGTAAGAAAAACAAACACACAGAGAAACTCATCTCTGCCCCTCTAAAATGTCACATCCATTAATTTGGCTTTTTATTTTGAACTATGCTGCCCTTCTCTACATTACTGTCTTTTAACTGGCTGTGGAGGGTTAGTGAATGAGCCAATAAGATAATTGTTCTACTGAGTAAAAGGTCATATTAATTCATACTAATCTTGCTTGTAAAATTGCAGGATATTTAGAATTGTACTGCTTTTGTACCGATTTCCCTGGATTGAGGCAGCCAAAAGAGAATATTTAATTGCTGTCACTTGCATTTGAATTAATTTGTTTCAGTGTTTCCTATCTCTGCCCTTGTAGCCTCTATAATGACAAGTGTACCTGCAGCAAAGGAACAATAGACACATTTCTCTTTTGCATTTGTCTTTTAATATTTGTTGCATGTATTGTGATTTCCAGTGGAAAGAGAAGCTGGAATAAGAGAGTTCTGTATTACAGTGAATTTGTGGAAGCCAGCTGTGGATTAACAGCCAAACTCCAACCATCCCGGCTCATCAAATTTAATTTGGTTTGATTGCTTATGTTGGCCTAGCTCTTGCCAATTTAATCGTTTTGTCATTGACACTAAAAATGTAATATTTCCTGCTGGATGAGAGACACATCCAACTTCTCTTTCATTTATTTGTCCTGGGGAAGTTTTGTGGCATAATGATTAATGGTTTCATCTTCCCCAAATGCTTTGTTTGCTGATTGGATAAAAACAGCAGGTGGGCTTAAACTTTTTTACAAATGTTCTCGAAAATAAAAAAACATAACACAAAATTAACATGAGTTCAAACATTAACACAGGGTTGTGTGCATTGACATAGACCATGGCACATTTCTGGGAATGAAAGATTCAATGAGGAAAATATATGTCTCCATTACAATTTAATTCCAGAGAAATCAACAGCTTTGTGCCGGCTTTCATTATACCAACAAGTGCAATGATACTATTTTGGGTAAAATCTGATATTGAATCAGGTTTAGAGCAGAATTCCAAATCCAACACATACTTTGGAGGCACAGTGGGAGATGCTGTGCAGTTTGGAAAGTGACACATTACGTTTTTTCTGTTTGATTCTTTACTGCCCTATATTTGACTTGAACTGAAACAGAGACTAAACTGACTTATTGTTTGAGTGTATAAAGGTTTTCAAATTTGTATCGGTTAAAAAGGGCAAGATTCAAAAGCTTTCTGTTCCAATTTTAAGCACAATTTTAAGCACAATACAGCAGATTGTCTTAAGCATACAGAAGAGTCAACCATAACAATAAGAAAAACAGTGGCATGTACCTAACTGTGCATGTCACCTAAATGTGTGTTTCACAGCTGAAGGTCAGAAATTAGACGGCAGCGAAGATGGCAGCAGTACATGCCTGACAGTGCTTCACTATGGGAAGCTATTTTCAGTGGATTATAGACTTAAGACAATTACTCACTGAAGAAAATCTTCAAAATAAAAAACATTCAGATTTTTTACATTTATGTTTTAAATGTCCCTAAAAGGCAGTGAGTGGAGAAAAGGCTAAGAATGCTATACTTGTTTATGATATGTGAACACCATGTCAGCACTTCAACCTATGCCAGGCTTTATTCAGATCCAATTTTCTGGAGCACAGGAACCAATACAAAATAAAGAAAGTGATACTGTCCAAACTATATCAATGCAGTGTGGGAACAGGGAGAATAACATATTTGAGTTCATGAGACGGTG